CAGGAGTCATATACCAGGGAGGTTCTTCACAGCTTTTCCTTGTGCTGGAATTTATTTGCCTGCATTTCCATTTGCGTCCGTAATTCTTTTTCCCGCATGGCAGACTTGGCCATGGCCGGCATTTCCCACTTTTGTCAGTGCCATAGTTTGCCATGTTGCATGGCAGACATCGTCCTGCCGCCGAAATTTAATGCGCCGCGGATTCGGATTTGGAACTCCAACGCCAGGCAGTCTGGGCCGGGAGTCTGGTATTTCGGGGGCGGAGCAATAAATTTTCATGCCCACTGTCATGAGTCGAGTGCGGAGCGTGTTTACTTTGTATGACGTTCGGGGGACGCAATCCCACCGAAGAACCTCCCCCAGCAGCTCAGTGTCATATTTCTGGGCGACAGATCTTATGGAGAGAATTTTAACTGCGTAGCGGTAGTATTAATATACTCTCTAGAATGAAATAAACAATGTCCTGCAGGCTCAAATCTTGTGACACAAAGATAATGTTTTGATATTTTGAATCAATATACAAAATGACCCAGAAATAAACTTAAATATAAATTCTTATATTATATTTATACTGGTATTATTCTTTTACAATTTTGTATGTATACTTTAACATTATTAGATTTAAAATAGTTTTACAATTAATGTTTTTTTTAAGAGAATAAACAAATAATGTTTAATAAAAAAAAGAGTGTATTCTTATTTTCGTTTTGGTGACAATTTTATAGTCCCACTTTACTTTCTTTTTATTTCATACATACATTTTTTGCCTTTTTTCTGGTTTATTTAACGAGCATTTTCTGTCCGTTTCATTTTTTGCGACTTTTGTAGCGTTTTACAGTCATATGAATATTAAATTAAATTTTTTCCCCACCCCGGCCATTGAGATTGCGAGTGTGCTCTAGGCCAGCGAAAGGTGAAGGTGACTTGGGGCGATGGGAGGTGGAGAATTGGAAAAGTACGTATACGTATTACGTATACGTATCATCTGCCTTGACTTTGCCTGATAATGGCACAAAAGGGCACAAAAGCGAGAGCAGAGAAGCTGCCACATGTGCAATTCATCAGAGGCGGCTATCCGCTTTTAATCAAATGCAAAGTTGACCAAGTTAAGGGGAATGAGAGGGGGATGGGCACGCCATTTGACGACGCCCGACGTCTGCAGCCTCAAGATGGCAAATTGTGCCGCACCGGCCTTCTATTGCCGTCCTGCAGGGCCAAATGCAGAGCAGTTGGAGCCGCTGGCTGCTGGTTTCTGCCTGCTGACTGTGTCTGATATGGCTCACTTCTGTCATTTATCTTCCTTTACGGCTCGAAGGGGCGTGGCCCTGGACCATTCAATTCCGGAGGTGCAAGGCAGCTGCTGAGCAACCAACGCATGAGGAACGCATTCAAACCCAGAAGTACTGAAAAGTACAGGCTTACACAGAGAGAAATAAGAAAATAAACTAAATATTGTTAATGTGATAAATCACTTATAAAGGTGTACAAGAATGTATTACTGCATACTTTAAGACACCTTTATACGTTTATTCTGTTGCAGCTCTATGTACTTACATTTCATTTGGTTTTTAGGGTTAAATTATTTATTTTTGTTACCTTTTTGGCACACAATTTAACTTTCTAGTGTATTTCTAAACTCACCTACGAACACACGTTAAAGTCTGCACATGCCTGTGCATATTTGAGATATTGTGTTTGAACTTTGGCTTTGGTTTTCGACTCACTTCGCCTTTCGGCCTGGGAACTGCAATTGTTGGGGCTGCCAGCTTGACAAACGCACAGTCGCCAGGATTTACTGGCACTCACACACGCCGACAGTCCAGGACCCACAGTGATTGAAAAATGCTCCCAAATTTTTAGCTGTGCTGCCATTTTGACACTTTATCAGGGGCCAAGTCGAGTTTCCATTCGTAATAAACTTGACACTTCACCGGGCACAAACCCCCCCTCCATTTCGACACCGCCAATACCACGTGCTTGTAAAATTTATGCTCTCTTAAGGAATTCCTTTAAAACTTGACAACAAATTGCACTTTGGCTTAACAACAAAAATCCATTGGACGGGATTTTCGATTTGAGCCGAACATGAAGCAATTAAATCGTTGCCCATCCAACAGATTTATAATTCAATTTTTTCCTGTTTTCATCTCTCCGGGCTTTTGACACCACGTTCTATGACATCATGTGCACGATTTTGAAATCGAAATCTATTTTTTGAACAATTAAATGGCGAATTCGTGTTATGCAAATGGCCAGGGAACGTGCCTAAAATTGCAATTAGTGCAAATGTGCAGAATGGCGCATAAAATATCAATAAACAGAGCATTGCCCAACAGAAATCCGGTCTGGACTGTTGCCAAATGGATATTGTCGCAAGGATAATCGAAAGGCGGCAATTAATGGCCACCAGTTTGGGTTTCCAGCTTATGTTCTGTGTGTCTGTGGTGTAATGATAAGGATGTTGAGGACAGTAATCCCTGTCAGGCGAAATAGGTGATGATTGTGGAAACTGGCCGAGTGCTAGCTAATCAGAAAGGATGGTTTTGTAGAACGGAAGTGTTCTAGTTAATAGCCAAAAAATGTATCTGTGTTTAATATAGCAATTTAATCTGGCAAATCCATTCTCCACCCTAATAATATTTGTATTTTATCCTTCTCTTTAAGTACTAAGGAATCAGTTCAAAAAACTTTACTGAACTGGGTTGCAAAACTTATTTTACCTTCTTATAGATTGATAGCCCCGGCTAGTAGGTCGACATAACTTTTCTGTGCCAAGTATATGATAAATTATTAATATAAATATATATTGTATTATTAAGAGAACATTTATTATAGAAAATTTTAGTGTGCACTTAATTCGACTGGAAAATGTTGTTTAATAAAATTGTGGTAATAACAAAAGCATTGTTGATGCCAACGCGTTTAAGTGCCCATAGGTTCGGTGTCATTTCTTTATTGTTTCCCATTCCTTAAAATGACAATAATCGTAATTGATATTATTAATAACATTTGATTGAAAACAATTATGAAAAGAGCCATTGAAATGAATAATAATATTAATTCGAAAATGTTTTCTGTTCAAATAAATATAATTTAATTCGACAATCATTTGCGGCTTATGCGCAAATTGCTAGTCAATTTTTTTCGCTTTTCTTTTTTCCACCTGGTATCAATGCAAATACCTGTGGCTGTGGCAGAAAGCTAATACGGCAAATTAATTACAATAAAGCGCCCAGAGGCTTCCAGGCAACACAACCATGTTTTGTTTGTATTGTTGCGGCCTGATTTTTAATTTATGCGCACCGCAGTTGATTTTCACATAAAATCCGATTCGCAGCCTCGCAAATCCACCGCAACTTAAAAGCTTAAAACGCCGAGCCAGCAATGACTGCTTGGGCCGTGCTCTCCCGCCTTTTGGTCCTGCCAACACCCTGTGGCTCGGTGCCAAATCCCCGACCAAGGCTTATAAATTTTAATTAAAATGCGACGCCAGATGGGAGGGCATCAGCATCATCAGCAGTGAGCATTGCGTGTACTCGCGGCGCTTATTTCCGCTTACATTACAATTACATTTGCCTTTGGGCCAAGTCGCATCCGCATTCCCAGGGTCACCGAGTCCATTCCGACCACAATCACCTGGCCCTGACTATTGATATGGCCAGGTGCTAAGTCCGAGGTCGCTGCACAAATCCGCATTTTGATGGCAAACCCATTGCGGCTGTGCTGAGCACCGGACTCAAGGGCTTTTATCCAGCAAAGTGAATTTATTTTTTGTTGAATATTAAATAAATCGCTTTATGTTTTATTAACAACTATTTCAGAATGTTCGAAGACAAAGGGAATTGATAAAAATTGATAATAATATATAAAAGTGTATTATATAATAAAAACAATGTGTAGTAACATTTTTATTAAAATTGATAAACAAAGTCATTTTTATACAGCTGGTAATTAAACCTTAGCTCTTTCCTGTTTTTAAAATGGAATATTTTATAGTTATGTAGGGTTTTACCAATTCGATATAATTGATAACAAAACTAAGAATAAAACTTGGATGTATGATTAATATAAATATTAATTATTATTTTTATATTCACAGTGCCACAATTGGGAAGTGCAATATTAAAACCCAGTCTTAACGCCATTTCTGAATTCTTAATAAAAAGTTTTTATATTCTCAAGCTTAAATCGCCAAGTAATAGAGAAAGTTCATTTTCTACCCTTAGAGTTTTCTCAATTATTGCTGCCAAAAATGTTTGCCCACTCGACACAGCTGCTGCCTAGAGTCAGTTTTTGGGTTTTCCGGCACGAGAAATATTTGGAGGACTGCACTAATGACGCAAATCGGCCTAAATAACAAGTTGCTGGCATTTGGTCAACAAGTGGAGATTCTCGCTGTGGGCGAACTGCGTTGCCAACTCAGCAGACTGTTTTTTCCTCAATTTCCACCACCCACGCCCCTAATGAGAAGCAATGAAGAGGATCCACGGTATCTGGGACTTGGTCGCAAAATGGAAATTAAAATGCATCCCCCAGCTGCGGCAGTGGGCGGTCAACTGGGCGTGGCAGACTTGATTTAATCAACTTGATCCCGAGCAAATTCAAATTGCTTAAAGCCAGTCGCATGAAAATAAAGCTGGTGGAATGTTGTTATAGAAGCGGTAATGGCTTAAATTATTACAATAAAATGACTGCATTTTCATCAAGAATTTTAATTAGTGGGATAATCAGCGATGCATAACTAATTAGACTTAGTTTATTTTCACAGATAAATTTTATCCCTCACCTTACCACGGTGTTGATTTTAATGTACCTTATTAAAAACAACGTTTGGTATTTCGGTCTGTATTATAAATAATTTATTAAATTTTATTTCCATTTAAATTATTTTGTACTACTTAAAACCAATCGTGAAATATTTTTTATTGTTACTTACGAAAAAGCCACTTGCCAGTGCTTTTAATGTCACAGATTTCAGTGTCCTGTTTAGATTTATTAATATGTCTATAAGGTTGAACGACGATGCCATGCGGCAATTCCGGGTGGCCAAGGTGTTTCAGGAGACGGAGGAGCACAAGGTCTCCTTGGATTTTTCCGTGGACGGACGACGTTTGATGGCCTGCGACCAGGCCGCCCTCTCGATCTTCAGCAGCACTCGACAGGCGGTCCTTTGCCAGGTGCACATGCACCACTACCATCCCGAGGTGGCCTGCTTCACCCAGCAGGACACTCGCGTGCTGCACTCCTCCTCAAAGGTAAGAGCCTTTAAAGGAGAAGTAGTGGGCTTAGGTACACAACAGTAAAGGCTTTGAGCTTTGAAGTAAAAAGGACGGGGGAGGTAAGGGTTTCACTTTAAGAAATTGCCAACAAATAATTCAAAAGCTTTACAGGCAACGTGGTATTATATTTTGAGTTAAATAAAGATTTTTAGCAAATTTTAATAATTTGAGTTCTATAACGTGAGCTTATAGAAAAAAGTTCAAATGGAAAGAAAGCTGATAAATTGATTATAATCTTAATTTACTAGGTATACTAATATTCTATCTAGACTAAATGTGTGTAAAAGGGAGAATAACTTAGTATTTTGAAAGCAGACTCTATTTATATTTATTTCTATTCATTTTAAGAAGAAAATAAATAAAGTAAAAATCTGTACGAAATCTAATAAACAAGATCGCCCAATTGTATTTTTTTTTACTACTATAACGACTATAGCCTTATTGATTTATTTAATAAGTGAAAAAAGCTAATGTTTCCTTTTTTTAAACTTATTCGACAGTATGACTACGCCATCCGTTGTCTAGATCTGGAATCGCGCAGTTGCGTGCGTATTTTCAGTGGGCATTCCAAGAGCGTCCGCAGATTGATCTCACAGCCCGGAAACGAGAACATCTTTGTTAGCGCCGGACGAGATGAGCAGGTGTATGTGTGGGACTTTCGGGCCTCTACGCACACATATCACTTGAAGAAGCTGCGGAGTCCGCAGTGCGCCTTCGATCCTGCTGGCTTGGTCCTGGCCACCAGTTCGCACACGGACCGGATCGAGCTCCATGACATGCGGATGCTGGGCGAGCAGCCGTGCCAGAAGTTCGTCTACCAGGTGAACGACAAGGTCAGGTGGACGCAGCTGCAGTTTGCTCCGAATGGGAAGAGCATGCTGCTCAGCACGGATCACTCCTGGTGCTTCAGTGTTTCGGCCTTCGACGGATCCTTCCAGCAGTCCTACACGGGTTATGCCAATCAGCAGAGGCAGTCACTGGACGCCTCCTTTACCCCGGACTCGCAGTTCATCCTTTCCGGGGCGGACGAGGGCAGGATCCACATTTGGCGGGCTGCCGACGGATATCCTGTGGCCGTTTTGAAGGGCAACAATGTGGGTCCTGTGCGCTGTCTGCGGTTCAATCCCCAGGCCACCATGTTCGTGAGCAGCGATCTGCTGATCGTCTTCTGGATGCCCATGGCCAATGGGGTGTACGATTGGGTGGAGTGCTTGGAGCCGGGCGAAACGGTTTCATTCAAGGACAAGCAGGATGAGAAGGCTGTCAAGCCCCGTCAAGTTCAGAAGCCCATTTCTATGCCCAAACCAAAAATGGAAGTGGAAATGCTGAGGAAGAGATTAGGTTCCAGCAATTGGGCAGCCAAGAAAAGAGCTCGCTCCGAGGTTGCCATAGTGGATCTCACCAAAACCGAAGATAGGAACCCCCTAGAGGATGGTGAAATATCCGATGACTAAGATTTGTAGGGATCTGTCGGTAGAATAAATATAAGGACTATCCATCAACTTGCTCTTGGCCAAAAGTTCGCAGACCAACTCCCAGCAGGAGACCACCCAAACTTCCTGGACAGTCCTTATGCTTTTGAGACACAAATTGTTGAGTTTCGCCAGCAAATTGCACAGCTGGCTGCGTTCGACTCCAAAAAGGAGGTGGTGCGCAAACTTTTGACCAACTTTTGGGTGTGTGCATAGTCCTATACTGAGCCACTGACAAGCGTTTCATTTAGTTTCTGTGGCCATAAAAAGAATTCCCTCTTTTAATATTAATGAAATCTTTTGCCGAAAAGCCCCCAAAAAAGAACACACAAATTGCTGTTGAACTTTCTGAATTTTTAACTCCAATTGAATATGTGGATGGGTCCTTCTGCTGTTCCCCTCCTAAACTTTCACTGGGCGTTATAAAGTTTTGAATGTGCCTCATCATGCAACTGCATAAAATCTATTCGAGCTGTGAACCACAGTCAAATAGAAGTCTTATGTCCTTGTACTTAACTTTACTTGATAGAGAAATAAGAAGTTTGAGGTCACTTCTGATAAGTTAAGAGAAGTGTCAGTCAGTTTAGCCATACATTTTTGTTAAGAAATAATATAAAAATTTTTAGATAATATAAAAATATGGATATTTTTTAATTTTTTCGGGGCCAAATATATGTGAAATGAATATGAATCATGAACGTCAAAGATATCGTAAGATTTATAATATTAGAATGCATATAAATAATGATTTATCCCTGCTGTGTAAGAAATTAATGGTATTAGTCCCAGATATTAAAGTTGTCATTTAAGTAATTTATATTGTCATGGTCTAGAAGATACTTAATAGCGGGCCCAGGTAAACTCTGTATTCCTTTTGAATTCGTTAACGAATATAGTTGCAATCCTAACCATCAAAATATGAATAATAACATGGTAGTTGTCCTATTTCATTTAATTCTGGTCCTATTTGGCTTTGTTTCGGGGCTAAAAGATCGTGAGTATTATTAATATTGAACATCGTATCAAAACGAAAAAATATCTATCGATTTCCAGCCATTTGTGCACTTAAGCCAGCCTCTGATGTCTTTTACGTAAAGTCTTGCTATAACAGTAGCCGCCAGTTCTCATATTATGTGGATAAAAAGGAATGTTTGGACTTTGTTTACAGTGGCTGCGGTGGTAACGCAAATAGGTTTGAGAGTAAGTCGAAGTGTGAGGATAAGTGTAAGGAATGAATTGTCAGAATAAAATATTCAGAAAAGATATTGCCATTTCGTTATTTGTAATTTTGGATTTTGAATAATTAACTTTTCCATATGAAAGTTCGTTTTTGTATTATAATTAATTTTTCAGCCATTGAGGCTTAAAGCTATATTTAACGCTGAAATCTTCAATGTTTGATCAAAGTTGTGCCGTAAGTGTGCAACTGCCAGACAGTCGAAAAGTCAACAAACTAACTAAATACACTTCTGCTGAAGGAGTTTTGGGGTGTTGCAGCAGGGCAAACAGGAACAATAACAACGGCAGCCGAGAACCTCTCATTATGCTAATTAAGTACAAAAGTTGGAAACTGAAACTAGGCAAACATAAATTAACGCATGCGACAAATGTGCGGGCAGAAGGATTAAGTAGGAGCGAGGGAGCCAAGGAGAGTGGAAAATGAGCGCCGGAAACGGAAGTCGGCGTGTCGCCATTTTGATTTGCATGGACATTGCCATTAGTGCGACAAAGAGTCCCTAACGAGCATCCTTTGAAGCGCGTAAATGGCTTTCTCATCTCGGCAAAGCGGCGAAAGGAGAAATTAATTAAAAAGGTGGGCACGGAATGTAAAAAGAAACGAGCCGGGCGCGTGACTAAATTGTAAAACAAATCCCAAATGGCCCTGACACATAGTCGCGTCCTTTCCCCATCCTCCTGATTCCCTTTTCCTATATCCACGCACCACAAATTCCTTTTCCCATTCCGGGCTTTTTGTCCAGTGACGCAAGAATATTTAATGCGTTCGGTAATAAAAGCGGATTTCATTGGCCCCAAACACTAATCTTGTTTTGGGGCAATCCAATTGGAAAAGCAAGTTTTAGTGATGAGCGCGTGAAGAGTATTTCGGATGTTTTTTTGTGAACTAAATACATTTATATATTTTATACAAAAATTATATACATATTTTGAATACTTTATACACTCAGTTGCACTCTAATACAAAATAATTCTATCAATATAAATATAATAATATTCTATAATTTATAAACATAATCAATATATTAAATATATTTAGCGTATTAAAGGACAAAAAATGGTCAGTTGAAAGAGTTTATTTATAATTGCCTTATGCTGTCATCTCTAGCTCTTGTTAAGCCAGGATTGCCCTACTATTTTGGCCCTTTTTATGAACTACAAATGCCAGAAAAACTTTTGGCGAGCTCAAATTATTGAGGAATTTTATGTACTCGAAAAGGCAATCGGTTGCATGCATCGGCCAACAGGAAACAACAAGTTTGCCTTGTAAAGGCACATGATTTAAAGTCTGAATTCTTGTTATTATAAAGAATCAATTTGACCTCAATACCTCGGCTGGTTCAATGGGTGACTACAAGTTGAGACCTGAGGGCCAACTTTTAAATTACTCAACGGGCACTTTCAATAATGGCTGGTCCAACGTAGTAGCATGCCCAGTCAGAGGAAAAACTTTGCCCAACTGCCGCACAAAATTTACTCCTTCGGTCGACATTGACTTGTCCGCCTTTCCTTCGCCATTTCCCTATTTTCCCTGCCGCGCTTTCGACAAAAGTTGTGTTAAAGTTTTTTTTTTGTTCGCAGAACGCGGGGCAGGATGTCTATTTCCGCCGCTGGCGTAAAAATAACAATCGACTTGCAGTTTGAATACGTCAGAGCGAGGGGCGAAACAAGGTTCCACATTCCCAGGACGCCAGATTTGTTCTTTTCCGCTTCTTTTTTTTTTTTTTTTGTTATTTCTGTAAGACGGCGGGATTAAGTGGATTTTTAAGTGGCAGCAGCAAAAGTGGCCACGGGCTAAGGATTAGGCCGACTGTCCCTGGCGACACAATTACATGCACGTTGTTGTTTCCCCCTCGTTTGAGTGTCGTTAGAAGTGGACTTTACCATGAATGGCACGTGCTAATGGCTGTGGGTTCTGCTCCTGAAAAATCAGGTCCACATCAGATACTGTACGATCTGTTAGAACTTTCGTGACTTTTCGCAGAAACTGTGTAGCGTCGCTGCGCATTTCTCATATGTATCCTGACTTAACAATAAATCATTATTCTTTAAAAATAATGTAACTCGATTACACTAAAAGCATTAGTCATACAATTTTTTAATATATTATTTTTGCTCAAATTGACATTAATTAAAGGAATGGACATTCTCTATATTTCAGGTCTTTGAATCCAAAAACCACAAAATCGAGATGACTTTTTCGGATTTTGGCCATCAAAAACATATATTTAAACACCCTATTTTTAAGGGTTTTTTGTTGTAACTTTTCCAAAATAAGGCGCACAGCGAAAAGAATGACTGTTTTGTGCTGCTTAAAACCTACACAATCAATTCCAGGTTAATTTGGTAAAATTTATTTTTTTCCGATTTTCTCATTTTTTATAAGGGTTACCTCTATCATTTTTTGCGAAATCTGGCCCAAAATAAAATTTTTTAGCTGAGAATACCATTGGATAGGAAATTTTGTACCGAATCCAACGATGTATGACATTCCAAGATCTGATCATTATTTCCAAAGGTAATGATAAAAAAAAACAAAAAAAGAGCTGATTTTTTCTCAATGTTTTTTTCTCTATGTCGTTCTTGAAGTGTTTTCCTTGCTTGTAACTCAGTTTGTCTTGCCAATCAATCCCAAAATATATTTACATAAACTGTGAACATTGTGAATCCCATTTATCTGCCCGGGGCGATAGCAAAAGGTCCTCTGTTCGGTCAATACGCATCATTGGTTGAGCCTTTCTGAAACTATAATACTACCCCAATCTGTGCGGCATAAAACTGCAACTGTTTTTGAGATTGCTGTGGGTTCAATTTGTCCTGTGATTGCCTCAAATTAACCGACCGTTTGGTTCACCCTTTCCGTAGTTCTCAACCATTTGAGTTCGAATGTGCGAACGAGAGAATGGGGGCAATTGCGACGATTTGGCAATTGTCCATTCTGGCCTGTCCGTGCGCCTTCCATCGCTGTCAGCCAGTTGTCAGTCACTCAATCGGGCATTCAATCAAGCAATTTTCATACAAACACTCGGTAAAAGTTACGGACCCGGGAAACCCAAACTTTGATTTGCAATTTTGACACGCTGCTTAAATTGGAATTTTTGCTTTCAGCTTTGCGAATTGGCCAAAACGACGTCCTGTAAACGCAGGGTAGTCCAAAAGAACGGTGATGTGAGCAACAAGAACTAGTTTTATGCGTAAACGGGTATTTAGTTTTGAAAACTTATAAACTATTAAAAAATTATCAAATATGTTTAAAAAGTAATAAATATTTACATACTTTTAGAATTAAACCCGCTTTAAAAAATTGATTTTAAAAAATATAATGTACACTTTTTATAATAAACTTGCTATTAATAATATTGTATTAATTTGATAATTCACAAAATATTTGTATTTTCTTCTTTTATTTTGTTCCCCTTAACAAAGTAGCTCTCGTTTTCAGTCCACTTAAAACCCTCAACTGGTTCCAGAACTACCAACTCCAACGCCGAAAGGCATTTGTGCTCTGTTGATTCGCTTTTAAGTGACGCTTTTGGCCTTTTGGCCAAACTCGCGGGAAGCAAAGGTTTGTTTTTTTGTACGTTCACTGCTGCATCATGAGTTGAGCAAGGAAAGGGAGAAGTAGAGGTACTCCTGTACAGCTCAAAGGATTTTCCAGGACTAGAAAGTACACAGAAAAGAAGCAGCAAAATAATATACAACTTTTATCAAGGAATTCCAATTAAGAATTGTGAATTCGATTTGAATTACTTTTTCGAGTTCATATTATCTTAGAAGAGTATATAGCCAAGAGTTTTTAAGCACAGAAATGTGAACATGCTAACGAAGATTAAATAATCTTAAAAAATCGATTTTTCATTTATATGCTTAATAATTTTTTTAGTGCCGAGAACGTAAATGGTTTTTATGACCTTATTAAGCTAGTTTGATTGAATGTTTATTATTATTAAAATCACTAGTAACAATCATAACTAACAAGAAAGGAAAGCTAACTTCGGGCGGAGCCGAAGTTGATATACCCTTGCAGAATACTCTGTAAATTATATTCTCCAAAATTATTCATATGATGCATTCTTAATACTCATAAAAAATCCCAACTTATTAACTTTAAAAACACCAAAGTTATGACATTTCCAATCGTTCAGTTATATGGCAGCTATAGGATATAGTCGGCCGATCCTTATGAAATTTGGTAGGTCGGATTGGCTGGCCAAATATAACACCCATAGAAAATGCCAACTTCCTAACTTTACAAACACCAAAGTTATGGCATTTCCGATCAATCAGTTATATGGCAGCTATAGGATATAGTCGGCCGATCCTTATGAAATTCGGCATGTTGGATTGATTAGCCAAATACAAAACCCATAGAAAATCCCAACTTCCTAACTTTACAAACACCAAAGTTATGGCATTTCCGATCGTTCAGTTATATGGCAGCTATAGGATATAGTCGGCCGATCCCGGCCGTTCCGACTTATATACTGCGTGCAAAGGAAAGAAGGGTGTGTGCAAAGTTTCAATTCGATATCTTTAAAACTGAGAGACTAGTTCGCGTAGAAACAGACAGACGGACAGACAGACGGACAGACGGACAGACGGACAGACGGACAGACGGACAGACGGACATGGCTATATCAACTCAGGAGGTGATCCTGATCAAGAATATATATACTTTATAGGGTCGGAGATGTCTCCTTCACTGCGTTGCACACTTTTGACCAAAATTATAATACCCTCTGCAAGGGTATAAAAATATGTTTTCTGTGTAAGAATCAGCCCGCAGGCTTGGAGGCTCGGAGAACATCGGTATCGCTATTGCCATCGCAGTTGCAATCAGCTTAACAGTAACTAGAAAATAAATTGCATTCGATTTTGTTGGTACTGCTGCTCTGTGTTTTCGTCCCTGCTCTCGCCCCTTTTTTTCTGGTCTTATCTGCCGGTTTTGGCCAGTTCTGGCCGGGACTGGGCTTTGGCCAAATGCGTGATTGGCCAGCGCGGAAAACAGACGCAAACAAAGCCCGCCG